GGAAACACTGGACACTGCTATAAGTCAAATGGCCATAGTGATAACAAAAATAAAAGATTTCACACATATTGCACTGCCTGCTGCTCATAACTGCTTAAGAGTGCGCTGGCCACGAGCGAATATATGACATTGTGAAGGCTATTGTCGGACCCACAGACACATTTCATGAGGAAAGTTAACGTGCACGTTATAATCAGCCAAGAAGTTTCGAGTTGAACGTGTTTCTACTTTCACATGCAAATGACTTGTTGCACTTATGAATATGATAACTTTCCGGCATCAATTCTAGTAGGGTAAAACATAATTCCATTTTCGAAACGGTCTGTTTTGCCCTGCCATTAGCTGAGGCTGTGTGTGAACAAGCCGCGGCTGCAGAGCGTGAGCTGCTCCGTCTCACGCAGCCAGAGGGAGTTCCGCAACAACGCTTAGCTGCCCGCCAGTGCGCCTGCCTATAAATCGGCCTAATTTGCAGCACAAACGGCCGATGCCAAAAATCGGCCGATTAATCGGCTGGCCGAGCAATCGGTCGACCTCTACTAAATGGCACAATAACTGTCAACTGTACTTATTTAGTTACATATTTTCATGAAATAACACCAGAATATTTGAGAATTTAATATTTGTCCTTATTGTCTCTTGCAGCAATCGGCCGGACGCTGATTCCTCGTTACTTCAGGAGTGTGTTTGAAGGTGGCGCCACTGAGCTCTACTACATTCTCAAACACCCTAAAGAGTCCTTCCACAGCAACTTTGTGTCTCTGGACTGTGATCAGTGTACGATGGTCACGCAGAACGGCAAACCCATGTTCACACAGGTGTGTGTGTGTGGTGTTTAATGTGACATTCAGCAGGACGTTTCTGTGGTGTGTGTGTAACTCTGCTGGTCTCCTCAGGTGTGTGTGGAGGGCCGTCTGTACCTGGAGTTCATGTTCGATGACATGATGAGAATAAAGACGTGGCATTTCAGCATCCGGCAGCACAGGGAGCTCATTCCCCGCAGCATCCTGGCCATGCATGTCAGTTCCTCTTCCTGCATCTCACAGCGTTTCTTCTTCTAGCTGGTGTTTCATACCCGATGATCGTGTGATTTGTGTGTCTGTCTCAGGCTCAGGACCCGCAGATGTTGGATCAGCTGTCCAAAAACATCACCAGATGTGGCCTGTCAAACTCCACCCTCAACTACCTCCGAGTACGAACACCACAACACAACACTGTGACGTCATCTACAACATTCATTCAGCTGATTAGTAACTAGGGCTGTCAATTCAACACGTTAATTTGGTGTGATTAATTATGGAAAAAATAATGTGTTAAAATAATATATTATTATATTATATCATATGATATACTTTAGCAATCCCACACCAGCAAGAGTGCTGCTTCTCCACAATATCTGCACCATTGCAAATGTGATACTGATTTTATACAAGAGTTCAGTAATGTTGTGTTTGCTCAATATTGCAAACGAAAACAGTTCCAATCAAAGTCACAGCAGAACGTTTAGCATCTCTGATCAGCACACAGCAGTGATTTGTCACTGAACGAATCCACTTTTTTTTTTTTTTATGAATCGAGTGAGCCAATGACTCAGTGACTCATTCATAAAGAAAGTCACTTGCTTTATTTCTGAATGAATCAGCTGTTTGAAGGAATCGAGTGAGCCAATGACTCAGTGACTCATTCATAAAGAAAGTCACTTGCTTCATTTCTGAATGAATCAGCTGTTTGAAGGAATCGAGTGAGTCAATGATTCGGTGACTCATTCGGAAAGAAAGTCACTTGCTTTATTTCTGAATGAATCGGCTGTTTGAAGGAATCGAGTGAGCCAATGATTCAGTGACTCATTCATAAAGAAAGCCACTTGCTTCATTTCTGAATGAATCAGCTGTTTGAAGGAATCGAGTGAGTCAATGACTCTCTCCCACCTTCAATACCACGACTGAGGTGCCCTTGAGCAAGGCACCGAACCCCCAACTGCTCCCCGGGCGCCGCAGCAAAAAATGGCTGCCCACTGCTCCGGGTGTGTGTTCACGGTGTGTGTGTGTTCACTGCTGTGTGTGTGCACTTTGGATGGGATAAATGCAGAGCACTAATTCAGAGTATGGGTCACCATACTTGGCCACATGTCACGTCACTTTATAAAGAAGGTCACTTGCTTCATTTCTGAATGAATCAGCTGTTTGAAGGAATCGAGTGAGCCAATGATTCAGTGACTCATTCATAAAGAAAGTCACTTGCTTCATTTCTGAATGAATCGGCTGTTTGAAGGAATCGAGTGAGCCAGTGATTCAGTGACTCATTCATAAAGAAAGTCACTTGCTTCATTTCTGAATGAATCAGCTGTTTGAAGGAATCGAGTGAGTCGATAATTCAGTGACTCATTCATGAAGACAGTAGCTGCGTCCGAAATCGCATTCTCTCTTGAATAGGTACTTATTTTAAATAATTAATTACTTCTTGACCACTAAAAAAAGTATATTCTAAATAGTATGAATGTACTGTGTGAATGTAATCTGGATGTGCTACATTCGCCATGTTGTCATTTTCACATGACCTACCAGCGTCAGTTGTGTTGCTTCACTGCTTTTCACAGATCCTCTTTGAACGAATCGAATGAGTCAGTGATTCAGTGACTCGTTCATAAAGACAGTCACTTGCTTTGTTTCTGAATGAATCTGCTGTTTGAACAAAGTGGGTGAGTCAATGATTCAGTGATTCATTAATGAAGACAGTCACTTGATTTGTTTTGGAACAAATCAGTTGAATGAATGACTCAATGACTCGGTTATTAAACAGTGACTCACCACCACCCACTGGCAATTTTAGTTTCATATTTAGAGTATCATTTCTTTTCTTTCTTTTTTTTAGGAAAATCATATTTACATTTTTTAAACCTATTAATTCCCATTTAAAGGGGTCATATGATGCGATTTCAAGTTTTCCTTTCTCTTTGGAGTGTTACAAGCTGATTGTGCATAGATAAGATCCCTGAAGTTGCAAAGACTAAAGTCTCAAAACCAAAGAGATATTCTTTATCAAAGTTAAGACTCTGCCACGCCCCCCTAAAACGGCTCGTCCTAACACGCCCCCA